TCGCCACGGCCTGCGTGCAGTTCTTCCAGGCCCTCGGCGGCGCAGTCATGATCGCCGTCGCGCAGTCACTGTTCCAGACGGGGCTCATGGACGGCGTCCGCAAGAACGTGCCGGGCATCGAGCCGCGCATCTTCATCAACTCTGGAGCTGATCAGGTGCGGGAGCTTCTCGAGAGATTGGGAAGGGAGGATGCGCTGGGTGACGTTCTCGATGCGTACATGGTCGGACTCCGGGATACGTTCTACGTCACTCTCGCGTGTGCGGCTGTTGCTTTTGTGGCGTGCGCTGGTTTGGAGTGGAAGAGCGTCAAGAAGGATGGAAAGGGGGCAGCCGTTGTGGCCGCCGTCTAGATTGTCAAGCGGATGATGATTTTTCACGTTCATTGGATGATTTTGTACAACAGGACATATGGATAGATACCCTGCTCATTCTGGAGAGACTTGCTTGCTCCAACATTGTACTAATAGGATTGATTGAACTCGACGGTATTCGCAGTCTTCTTCTCCCTGCTATTGTGTATCATCCGGCGGTCTGTCCCACCCTCTTCTCCTGGCCTTTCCCCCGCCCGCGCCCCTCTCCCCCTCCTCGTCATCACCGCCCACGAACCGCAGCACCCAGTCCCTGACCCTCCTCGTCTTGTCAACTTGCGGATGTCCGCCCCTGCGCAGGTCCGCGCCCGAATAGCACCCCGCCCCCTCCCCACGCGCCCCGCCCCGATGCAGCAGCGAGACCTTGGTCCGCCCCCTGCGCAAGCTCTGCCCGTACACCCTGCCCCGGAAGACGTGCAGCGCCACGTCGCGCAGCATGACGACGTCCCGCCTCCGCAGGCGCAGCACCAGCGACGGCACCGCCGCCGCGAGGTCCGCCGCCGACAGCCAGAACGTCACGGCGAAGCCGGCGCGCGTGTCGTCGCCGAGCAGCAGCTCGAGGACGTGCAGCGTCGCGCCATAGCGGGTGCGCACGGGGCGCGGGGCCGACGGGGCGATGACGCCGGCTATGAGGTTCAGGGTCACCGTTTGCGGGTGCAGGGCTAGGAGGGAGTGGGCCGGAGGCACGTCTTCGAGGTCGGAGAGGTGAAGGGGTTGCTCCTGCTGGTGGTGGTGGTGGTGGTGGTGCTGCTGCTGCTGCTGTGCAGGTGCGACGCGCAGTGGAGGCTCACCGGGCGGGTTGGAGGCGAAGGAGGTCGAGGTTGTGAGGAAGGATGTTGTTTCTTCGGCGGAGCCGGGGACGGGGCCGGGGACGGGGGAAGAGGGGAGGGCGGTGTGGTGCGCCAGGGAGTGGTCGTAGAACTGGGTCGTGAGGTCGTGAGAGTCGGAGCTGGAGGCTGATGAGGTGAGGGACGTTGTGAAGAAGTTGGCGTCTGGCTGGAAGGCGGGGGCGTTGAGGTAGGCGTGGACCTGCGAGAGGCCCGTCTCAAGACGTCGACGCGTCAGGGGCAGGGCGCGCCATGATGGGTTGCTGGATGGTGGGATATCTGGTAGGTTGTCATCGCTGAGGAACGCCGTGAAGGGGGGTGAGAAGTCGTTCAGGAGGCCAGAGGGATCCCAGGTCAGGGCGGATGAGAGGGGGGCGCCGGCGAGGATCAACGTTTTTCGGGGCATCTAGAGTCGATATTCTTTATGAAACTGACGCCCTGAAAATAGCCGAGAGCGTCGGCTCTGCGCATTGGCTCTGAGATGGAAAGATTATATCTGAGTGTGTTCATCGTGAGTGCACGGTGCGTATATCCGAGGTTAGTACGACATAGGCGAATATTGAATCTGTTAGGGACATAATCGCATACAGCGGTGTAAGTCGGCCAGGAACGTATGACGGGCACGCCAGGGTGCTCAGGAGCGCTCCGCATCTTCATGGTCCTGTAGACGAAATCTGTGAAACGAGGAAATTCCGTGGTCTTTGGTGACCGTTTGTCGATCTGGATGTGACTCCGTCCCACGCCATGCCACAGCCAGCTTGCAGTACGCAGGTACGCTACCACTCCACGTTTCCTGAATCACCTTCGCCAACACGCATGCACGTTTGACCTCCAAAGAGGCCAGTCCTGAAGTTCGTGCCATTCTCTTAGGTGACCTTACAATAGCGACACTTTCTTATAACTGACGCCGGGCCGAACCTGGAGGACAAGTTTTTCACGGCAATTAGCCTGTTGTCTAGAAAGCGCTTCACGTACAGCCTAGGTGTAAAGGAGACAGTAGACGCATCAGATGACAATGGCGCACGACTGATCTCGTGTACCATTCTCACCCACACAATTATCAAGATGTGTTCACTGTTCACCGCAAGAGCACCAGATTCGGGTCGTCTGAGAAGAAATACTCCATAGCCGACATATCAAAGGGGAGAATTTTAGTATTGACAAGACTGTCGCCCGTGTGGGAGATCTGACCGACAGTTGTGTCATCATACAAGTCGTGGAGAAAGGAGGGAACAAATACAATGGCATTGCCCCAATTGATCTCATCACCAAAGCGTCCGCTGTAGCCCCAGTCGTAGACGGGTGTTTTGAGAGCGACGTTACCTGCCATGGGCGTGTCGGCGACGGACTGGCCTTCGCCGAGATGACGCATAGAAGTGCGCAGCATGCCATCAACGTGGAAATTGCGGTAGATGGCCCCCATGGGCATGGTGTAATCTACGGGATACGAAAGCTTCTCGCGCCCGGGACAATCGGTGAAGACAGACATAAGATTGCTGGCGAAAGAGTAGTGGGCCATTTTGTTGATGCGGTTCAGGCGAGCATTGGAGGAGGTGAAAGTACCGGCAATGGGAACATCGGCCTGCAGCCGAATGCCGGTGACCAGCTCTGGGCCGGGCTCAAAGCCCGAAGGCAGACCGATCACCTGGACCCATTGCATGCCAAAATAGTTGAGCCGGGGGTGCCACGTTTCGCCGCCAGCCCGACCAGCTGTAGTATAGGCGTTGAACAAATCGCTGCCACGAGGCCCGGGGCCTAGACTTGCCTGGTTGACCGTTCCGTTGGCGTTGAGGCCCTCCGCAGGTGCGACCTTGATCGTGACGCCGGCGGGCAGCTCAGGGAGAGTGATGAGGGGCCAGCCAACAATGTTCTGGCCAAAGTCAAACACCCAGATACCAGGGACGGGGCTGGTGACCGAGACCGGGGTGAAGCGTTCCTGTTCCTTGATCAGCTCGGCGGCACGGGCAACCAGTTTGGTGGCGAGGTTGGGAGCAGGTGCGATGCCAGCCGATGTCCAAGCGGACGGCTTGAGATCGGTTCCTGGCTTGTCCCAGCCAAGTTGTTCTCGACGAGCATCGTAGTCGGAACCAGAGTACTACGCGTCGGTAACAAGGGGACCAAGG